ACCCAGCCTAAATTTCTGCATGTCTGAGCGATTCTGTTTACGTGATAACGTAGAAAATCGGGCCACTAATTCCTCTCGTAGCGACAGAACCCGATTTCTTGCGTTAAAGCGTGACACTACCGTCGCTTAGATGCATCTTACTTTATCTATCTGGTACGTGATGATCTTCTGTTTTAATGAAGGATAAAGTGGATGTATATAGTGAATTGTCAATATTCACCGGAACAATCAACTGTATTTTGCATGTACGAACACTGTGTTTGACACTTGCTAATACTTTTGAACTGGTTCCGCCAATGCACATATTCTACTTACTGAGTGCCTGAGTACTCAGTCATCATTTACCTACGAGATTACAGATCCGATCGTTTCCGTATTGACCGGCAGAAGTTTACGGAACTCAGTTCTGCCGTTAGCCGCCATCGTACTTATATAATGTCGGCCGCCATATTTATGTAGACCATGTCAAGTCAAACAAGCGATGGGTTCCTTACACATGAGGGCAACACCAACGGTGACTTTTTGCCAAAAGCAGAGAACAAAACGAGCAACCACTATATGAATGAAGGGCCTACGCCGAACGGATACATCCACAGGGCCCGTAAAGGTTTTCTCCATCTATCCTACTTACTAGTTCTAGGGAGACTGAAGGTAACAGTTTATACCGCACGACTTCGGGGTAGTTTGGTAGAACTCTGTGAAGTCGGACGAGCTGCGTCTCAACACTTCACTCAACACTATACAAAGAAGAATTGTTCACTTCGAAATTATGTAAATGTCCTTCGATGTTCTCCTGGATGGCATATTGAGAAGCGCACAAGGTGAAAAATAGTAGGTCGGCCAGCTTTTTAGAGGAAGTTTACTGACTCATTCGGCCAGAAAGAAAAAAGTTTATTGTACGCTCAGATCAATTGGCAGTCGATACACAAGGCCACCGTGTATTCCCCAACATATAACGACCAAATCGAGCGAAAATATTTGGCTTGAGAAACAATTGGCTAAAACCTTTGTGATGTGTAAACAATATACTATCAAACATGTTGCTACTAATACGAAAAGGATTACCCGTTAAGCTTGCGCTCAGATTAGCTGAAATAGAAATTATATAAATTTCTCATACAGATAGCTCATTAACGTATAAAGAAATTAAAAATATATTGTCGGTAGAAAAGTGCCATTGTTGATTATTTTCATAGACCCAAACTGTGTGCAATCTAAGCAAAGTACGTGAAAGAATATAACCATATTTATAGTATTTTTCAAATCCTTACAATGACCTGCGTTTTCACGGGACGAAATACCCTTCTAGAGGCTAGACGATACCTACTCCAATTATCCAATAATTCCATAATCGATTACATGCAAATGAGTTCTACAAAGCAGTAGATGACAGCATTAGAGACGATGATACACTTTGAGGGTAATATCCAACTTATGTTTAAGTTCTCTGTTCTTTCCAGAAGCGAAAAAGCGGCCGCAGCTATACGATACGGTTCGCATATAAGTATACCCACGTAACATCTAATGAAGCTGACAAATAACGCTTCGCATTGCAAGCACATATCTTTAATTTTTTAATTGAAGTTTTTTTCTATCGAAGCTTCAATACAATGTAAGCACTTGACTAACTCTGAAAAAGGCCCCGAGGGCGTCCGTTTTTTCGACCAAGCGTATTCTTCCATTGCAATAGCCGCCATGACTCCAATGTAGTACCTTCTGGAAATAGCTGACCAGCGAATAGTATTTGTACTAGACGGTATTGAGAACAACAGATAGGGCCACGGATCAAGTGTTCACGGTTTATAGAAGATCATGACATAGCTTGCCTTAGAAACACACGGTTCACATAATACGGAAAGCAAAACGTGTCTATTACAAATTGAATGTAATAGTCGCATACTGTTATTGCTCAGTATTTTAAAATTTTCGGATTAAACGTAAAGCTGTATTCAGTAGTCAATAGGGCTTTGCCAGCTTGAGTGGCCCAAATGCCCAGCTATACATTTGATATTCGGATTCTCTATTTTAGATTTCAGTCATAACAGACCAGAGCTTTCATTTAACGTTTTATGTACAGAGTTCAGACTATTAAGCACAACGATTACTTTGTAAATATTTTATATTTTAACATATTTTTAAAAATAGAGTAACATATTTGGTACAAATGAGCGAACTATTGTATAACATTCACCATGCAACAACCATGTACATGACTATAGGCTTATCTTAACGATAGAGGGACATTTCTAAACGGCCCTCGAAGCTAGCTAATTTTTAAATTGGGCCAGTGTGCTGAGTGCAAACAATCAAGGGAAAGCTTTTCGCCACGACTGTTCTAAGCTTATTAAGGTCCTCTTTCAAAATCTTTTTTATTGCATCAGTTGACGCCATTTTCGCATATCATGACTGGAAGTAACTGATCGCGCGTTATTTCGTATTACTTAACCTTGTGAGACGTTTCCTGACACGAACATATGTGTGCCTAACCTGTCACAGATTACATGCGATCGCAAAGGGGTAGCACTATACGTTTAGAAGGCGAATCTGAGCGAATTTTGTGCATTTTCTGCTAAATACGCAGTACAGGATGTTTCCGTAAGCATTGAAGGAAGCACTGTTGGTCGTGCGCGGTATGGCTGTTTACGGGGGCCAGTTTCGTAAGTCAACTACCCCAGCAGTTTTGACACCCTGTCATTACTCAGTTCTTTATTAATCAGCGTTATCTAGCCAAAACAAATAACAAACTAAACACAGCCTTCGAGTCTTTGCAGTTAGATGCCCACACCACATTTGCCCAAAAAGGAAAGACGCATGGGGAGGAAGGGGGAGAACGAAAGGGAGAGGGAGAGAGACAAAATGCAAAATTGTTTTTGCAATTCATAGTTAACAGAATATACAAAGGAGTGTGACCTGATATAGAGCTGCCTTCCGGCCTACCTGGCGCACTATAAGAGTGTGCTATGCAAAATAATAGTGCACATCGCCTCACGATGTGTAAACTAAAATCCGTCGTTCCTATTTTTCAATAGAAAATATTGCATTAATTCTTCCTTTCTTTTCGAGGCTGTGCAATGACAATCATTAGCAGTATAGCTAACAAATTTTTCTAACAAATAGCCAGGAAATAACAGCTATTTAGAGCAAAAATTCTCGACTTCCTCGCGTATTAAGGTTTATTATTGTCATTGTGACATGACTAACGTTTCATAGTTAAGTGTTAGCGAGACATATATAAGTTATCTAAAGGAGCTATCTTGATATATAAAATTTAAAAAAAAATGATGAAAAAATATTTATTTTCGTACTGCTGTAAAAGATGAACGTTGTTATGAAATGACTGAACACGATTAACAGTACAAATAGCAGCAGCTTAAAAGTAGTTGTTTTAAAAAAAGTAGTTCAAGTTGGGTGACCTATTTGCAGTGCCTTAAAACAGACTTTAGGCTTTATAAGAGTTTCAGTGGTAAGGCTTCACAAATCTAGGGTAAAGGTGAAACAAATACTCTGGTATAACTTCATTTCGTTTTAGCTTTTCGTAGGCACCTTGAAAAAACAAAAAATGAGTTTCATTTGAGGTCTATGCTAAAAATACTATTTAAAAATATATAGCATACTAGTAGAAGATCAAACGGCAACAAAAGAAACGGTTTGATCTAGAATGGGAAAGTAGTTGGTACTCAGAGTCGTCCTAAGTCGACGCGCAAATCAATGGCCAGTCATACAGCCGATCATCATCCCGTATCTGCTACATCAATATCATCAAACTTGTAACTTAAACAATCGAATTCTACTTAATCGGTACTGGTGAGATAAAGATACCTTTCTTCTCATTGGGACATTATTTAACTAAATACATTCCAATGCGGTTTTCAGCTTGGTGAATACACACTCCCTCAACACCTCTACATAGAATATTTTATTATATATGGCTCGCATGTCTTTAAACTATGGTGAAGATCTGTTATTATTGGACACATAAACATGTATACAAAGGTGAGCTAAAAAGTCCAGATTACCCATGTCAACCAGAAAAAATACATCCATGTGTCATTTTCGTCTGCGTAAAGTAGTTAGAACAAAATTTCAAATCGACCAAATGATTTTAGCCGTTGATTGAATTGATCTCAGTATAACTTCATCTTCCTATGTCCAGCGCCGTCAATCATTTGGACAAAAACGAGTAGCAAGATGTCCTTCAAAAGTCGAACGTCATCTGAAAATGTGTTCTCTATTATAAACGCTAATTCCAAAGCGTCAAAATGGAAAACCACAATAATTCACAAGATTCACTCACAGTATATAGCTGGGAAATGGCATAATTGATAAGCAACAGGGGCACTTCAAGACGAGAACAGTCATAGGCCGCCCCCATATAGGATCGACAAAAAACCATTCGATTCTAAAGGAAGAGCTTATCGATTATAATAGGCTTTTCTATAATCGGGTAAGGCAAAAGATTTGCAAATGTTTACGTTCTAAGTAATTGTAAACCATGGGAAAGTGTTGACTTTTATTGAAGCCGTATCACTCTCCCAGTCATTTTAAATTTGCCCTAGAGATAACCGCTTAATAGCATCTTTCCCTAGTAGCTCAGTAGAGTACGAAGCCTGACAATGGATCACTTATAATAATGGTAATTAAATTATATAATTATGGAAACAATTGTTTTTTGCACAGGTGCGATGAGAAGTCCCTAGAGAAAATAGCGATCTATAACGCTAAACCTTGTTTTTGTTGTCACGACAGCTCTATGAATGAGCCCCCGTTGTGAAAACGGGTGACGTTATTAGAAAACGGTCTGCTCGACATTTCGAAGATACTGCTATGCAAAAACCTTTATTAATTTTAATAACTATTTATTTAATGTAAGTATAGCAGTGGGTTTTTGCAATTATGGACAATTAGAGAAAACAGGAAAAGTGAATAACATATAAAGAACCTTTTCTTATTATTTGATTGGTATGAAGTACACCTACAAAACCTGGCATAAAGTATGATCGTATTCGGTAACTTTTTTTTTTGTATCTAGCGACCTCTGTCACCATTACCGTCGTTGTTGACTTTTCTCTAGAACATCTTGAAGACGGAAAGCTGATGTGGTCCTAGCCGTTTTCCATTCTTGTTCAATTTTAAACAGTCATAGCAATTATTGATTCAAAAACGTGAGGCCGTAGACCATTGGACATCGTGCCCTGCGGTGTGCTTTTCTGTTCGTCATCGTTGACGAATCCTATTCGATCGAATAGTGGAATGTTGGGGCGGATCACAGCAATCCTTGACTCTACTTTCACTCTAAAGTCTAAAAGCTTTTCGTTTTACGTTTCGCTCTCTACGTTCGTTTCGCAACCGACTCGTGCTGCGAAAGGAAGCGCTGCCAGAGCGAGATTGGCTTCTGCTCCTATTCGATTTCACGCAACATTAGAAACCAAATTGCATCTGACATTTGATTCGCCTTAAGGTCCTAAGGCAACGCCGTACGAGGCTCAAGCAGCCACGTTACGTCGGAGATGAGTTCAATTCTGAAAGATTAGCAGAAAAAAATATTTTTGATTACTTGTATGCTCCTATGCCCTATATTCAATATTATCTACTAGCGCATACTGACTTAGAGGCTTAGTCTAAACTACGTTAGTACCAGGTGTATTAATAGCCAAGTATTCGCGTACCCAAGACAACGGGTTAAGGCCCTGAGAATCTCAGCTATTATATTGTACACTTTGCAATAGTGTGCGTTTAAGACACCGCGGCGTAGCCATAAGGTAAAATGGCTATTTTTAATAATAATACAATAAAAGTAGCACGAATAGTAACATCGTTTAAAGGATATGAAACAACGCACCATTTTCTTCAATGGCTATTCTTTGCTTATGGTGCATGCTTACTGCAAAATAAGGAGCTGACTATACAGCATAGTTGCATACATGAGGTGAGGGTTGCACGTGTTTGCAGCTATTTAGCGTCATGTGAAGGGGAACGAGTGTACAGTCTCTCGTATACGTCTGAAAGTGGCTCAGATCATTTACTTCAGTAGTAACGAAGGTAGGCCGGACTTCTAACTAAGTTTGTTTTATCAGAACTGCACGGGTATATTAGTGACAAACTTATCAGCTGTCGCCTATTGTAGACCGTCGCAGGCCGTTTCGTCAAATTGTTCTACTACGAATGAAACTACGGTAAGGCGACGGTAACTCTCTTACCAAGATGACGTTTTTGCAAAAGACTATTGGGTCCGCTACACAGCCAACTGCCCCTTTAACGCATCCAGCAGTTCCACTGCCTCGACCTTACATTATTTGTAACCGCCGTCTAGACACAACCGTACCAGCTATGGAAATCGCTTATTTCTTTTATTTCACCGTGCCAATGTTAATATCCACCAGTGCGACACTGATGTCCTTGACTCCCTTAGGTTACAGGCACCCGTAAAAACAGGCCGTTCTGCAAGAAAACCATATATGGGACAAAGTCTGCTTCTCCTCGACGGACAGAATAGAATTGGCAGAAGTCATATAAAAGGTTCACCTGGGCGGAGAGGAAATGAATAGTTGATCCAAATTGGACAACCCGCCATCAACATGAAAACTCGCATAAACAGATTGAAATTGCATTTTGAACTTGCGCGCGCCAGCTATAGATTACGATCGAACAAAGGAGACCAGCAAATATTCGTCAGTCGTTATGATATATAGACTTAACAAAGCTACGTTCAATCTAGTATAGCATATTATTGTTTTAATATTATTTAATGAATTATTGTAACTTTTCTGCTCATCTATTTTGCCCTATATTTCAATTTTTGGTTCTAAATATTCTGGCTCTTTTTTTTCAAATGGAGTCCGGTCAACCGGAATAAACCTGCTAGCTTCCTTTGTCCGATCCTCGTCATAACTCAGCCTGAAAGGTCAATGATATCTAATAGGTAACTTTGGCAAATACTCGATAAAAGACAATATTCAGACATTCATGTTTGGATACAACTCAAATATTTAAACATATCGAATATACTTTCAGAAAACAGAGTAGTATATGACAACAGAGGCTTTTGAATTGTTCTATTTGAACTTTGCATTACACGTCCCAACGAGTAGTTAGCTGACAAAAATGGCCTCGAACTTTACGACCGGTACTGCCATGAAGCATTGTTTCATACGACTGGCTCTAAGCACGAAATGAAGTTCATCTCGCTTGGTTTCAAACCTAGGCCTCTAGATCTATGCCTTAAGCAGGCGAACAAGTTACAACTGCGCTATCTTGTAAACGATTACTACGTGGCTAACTACGAATGGGTAGAACGTAGGGGAATGAGCGTGTCCATAAAGATTGGGAAATGGAGTTAATGGAAGCGGTTATGTACAACCTATGGAAGACCGGAAACAACGCATTACTCCAAATGAGAAAAGCTTTTGGCTAATGATCTAGATGATGGCTGAATCTCGCATCTACTGCATCTTCTTTGATTATTTGAAATACAAAGATATTTAACTTTTGCATCTTCACGCACTCTCGACCACGCACTCCCTGGTCGCTTTCACTGTCGCGTCTTTCTTCTAAACTGAGAATTTGGAACAAAACTTCAGCCACATTTTTTCCCGTCATCGCTGTCATTCGACGTCGTGTGTCCGACATAAAAAATGTAATCAAAACATTAAGCCCTTCCCACTGAAAAAAAAAAATAGAAAAGAGAAAAGCGGACCTATATGGATATCATGCACTTAGGTAGTTCGGTGTCTGTGTTATCAGTGTCTTCTCTCGACATACCCCAAAAACGCATGCATACAGACGACGGTAGTCCATGATAATAAAGCAGAAAGACTAGTCTTGGCAAAGGGTTTGGAGTCATTCGTTGACGTATATGTATTGGGTGTGCGTACGCTACGAATGCTACAAGATGACACATAAAACATGTTTATTCATTGAGATGCGACGTATCTGATCGAGATTTGCTTCTTACATATGACAACAGATATTCGAATACCTTAACATATAACCTTTGTTTTATATTGTAACAGTAATAACGGCCTTGTACTTTAAAGTGGTAGTTAAATAGGATTTGTTTCTTATGATTGTTCTATCTGTACGGAACGTATGATGCATTTTAATTGTACCACCAATTAAGACTTGAACTCAAGTTAACTCTATTCAGCCTCAGCTATTCAAGCCTCAAGGCTACTTTGCAAGTTTGATAAACTGAGATCATCAGAAAATAAATTCTAACTTCACGTAACTTAGCCAGCATATGGTAACAGCAGAATTGGCGTCGCTGTTAAGCTACCGCTAGCGACGCCCAGCAAATCTCAGTAACTCTGAGCGGAATACTTCGCGGATATAAAGTGGTAGGAAATTCTAAGTATACTTAGAATTTGTGTTCATAACTTGGAGAACACACTTTGAAGTTCCTGCACAAGTATCCGTGGTCATTTCGAAGGCCGGCGGCGATGTAAATTAGATGTAGTTTGGTTTGGTGTTGATGTGATTTGTATAGCAAACAGCAGACTTGCACTCATTAAAAAGATCTTATGTCTAATAATAAAAGTAATAATAGATAATCTATAGGCAGTCTACCATTCTCTAGAATAGCGCTATAAACTACGAAAAAAAAGAACGATGCTTGAATTAAAACGCCATGCCGAAATCGTCCATATTCTATAAACCTTCTTTAAAAGCTTAATGTGCGCATCTGATGTTAATGCTTTTGTTCGTTGTCACGGAAGGATAGTATCAGGATGCCTCAGATTTATCATCATAACCATTCCTATGTTTAAGCAAATTATGGTGCATCATTATTATTCTGAAGCGCATTAAAGCATTTTGTTTATATCACAAAATTGCCGGAAGTATCGCTCCTTTGAACACTACCATAGGAAAAGTCCGTCGTCTACCTAGCAGCGCATGCCTCCTGATTCTTTGGCGCTATAATACTCAAAAAATGCAACAGTATCCATCAAAGTATCTAATCGATCCCGTTATCGATATCGCATTATAGTGCGTGTGTACGTAGCTCTTTTTCCATGTTTTGTCAACGACTTTCTGGGTCTAGCATAATCAGAAGGGTTAAGCTTTCGCATATGCGTACCGTCCTTAATGTGCAAAACCAAGAAAAAATGAGACTTCGACCGCGAAAAAGACAATTATTGTCAGACCCAACGTTACTACATGCGTATGCATAAAGCATTAGATAGAAAAATTACGTACGTAATTTTTATGCAATATCAATCGAACTATCTTAATATGCTGTTGTTGACTTCTGTTGTTTCGCTCAGGTTGCCAGTCGTCGCGCTCGCAACGGCAGTCATTTGGTAGGTCGCGGCATCTTCGTCTTTGTTAACGCCCACCTCGGTTGGTGTTGGGTGACTGTAGACGACAGCAACGGAATGGGTGTGCATCCTTCGACCCGCTCTGCTCCCATCCAGCTGACGCCACCGCTGATTCCCTTAGCTTCTCCTTATTATTATTATACTTCTAAGGGAAATGTACGGAGTGGTAGCTACCCTCACGTACAGTCTGCAACCACAACGGCCGCCATACCCGCGTTGATCCTAATCAATCCTGTGTGAGTAATAAATAATCCTGTGTGGGATATCTAAAGCGGAAGAGTACGGAGGTTGGAAATAAACACGTTCGTTTAACATTAGCATTTTAATAAAGCACTTTCGATGCCAACAACGAAGCGATGCTTAAAAGATGATAAGCTCCTTTTTAAAAAATATAAATAAATAAAAAGGAAATAACTTTATTAATTTATCCTGTAAACTGAGAAAGTAAAAGTTGGAAACGATATCCGGTTGAGTTCCGTAAAGTAACAAAAACATGGATTTACAAAGTACCATGGCCAAAGTAATTTTCTAGTATCAAAGCTGATTTTGCAGAGTCCTTCGTACGTCACAGTTCTCTAAAAGCGGACCAAATTCTACTAAGGAGCCCTACAGGTTGTAAAGTAATGATTGTTTAAGCTTCGAGTTAATAACGAATTCGATAAATATTTCAAGAAGTTCGAGCAGTGTCCAAGATTTTATTAAGTTTTATAAAATTCGAGCAACAGATGACTAATAATAACTAAAACTAGCGTCATGAACTATTGATATCTGCTGCGCTGGATACGAACCTACAATTCTGAAATATTCACACAGTCACGAGCGAAAGAGAGTGCAATTGTCTAGTTCCATCCGTTTGCTAAAAACAACTTTTTGGACGTAATTTTTCGTGGTAAAGACACGATCTAATGAATCATTCAACGACGATATCTAGGTAACATTTCGAAAAAATTGTAAAAGCAGTAGCTGACATATGTCAATATTAATAGGAAAAGCTGTTGGAAATGTTCAACTTGACCATCGATGACTGAAGGTAACGGAGAAGCCGATGTACTTTGTGACCTGTTTAGGTTGACCCAAGCCTTGAGCTCGTTCGTACCTACACGAATGGCTGTGCCACCATTATCCGGTGCTCAGTAAGAGTTCAAAGTCTAAAAAAAAATAGCAGTTTACCGAATCGTATCTGTCGGAAATATCTCAGGATTAGACAGGAAGGCCTAATTGTCGAGTAGCAGTTCGCTTACATGAAGAAGAGCAAGGCAATTGACTGCCTGCTGTCTTCCATTAATCAACAGTATCACTCGATGAACTAACCTGTTTTTACCTGCTTATAGTATGTAGTGAGATTTCAGAGATGTCTTTGAAGTTATGACGCGTAGCTTGTTGTTAGGCGTACTGCACACCAACGGGGCAGCTGCCCCTCGGGCCTTTCGCATAGTACAGTCTCCACTGTTAGAATAAAGACCGCGTTTTCAAGATCTAAAAATGGCTTCACGAATCTGGAAACAAGGTACAGTTCTAGAAATGTTCTCTTTATGTTTTTTATAGATGAGGTTAAACATTTGTGTGCATTTACCTTATATAGTAGAGCTAATGTACAAAACAGTTTGTGCCCCTTCTAGCGCATGAAGAATGGACGCAGATGCTTAAAAAAATGCCAAGCGATTTTTTACCACGGTATTATAAAGTATGTCTAATGCTAGCGGTGCACCAATGCAAAGTAATCTGCATAAGGACACGAAGACCAATGTACAGTTATATTCTCAGCAACGAGAGCTTGAATCAAATGAGAATCGTAAACTATTTGAATGTACAACCTTTATCCACTCTGAAGTTCATTGAACAGATCGAACTCATAATAGACGATGTTTCCTTGATTCGATTCGACTAGATATCGGAAGGTCTTACAGGAAAAATGTGGACGCACACATCAGGCCAAACGAATTTTGTATCGTCCTACTAGAAATGTACGCAAATGAAGCCTGTTACCGTTCGCGCGTCCATAATCCTTCTTGTCTCGAAAAATGCGAAGATCCTTGTGAAGGGTTGAATTTAGATTTGACGTACGAAAGCAGACTGAAGTGGTATCGGTTGATGATCCAATGAAAGCTGCAAATAGAAAACGGCTTATTTGAATAATGAAAAATGGAGAGATATCCTGCGTAATGTTTTACTAGACTGGAACGAATCCAAAGAAGGTTAAAACTAAAGCTTAATGATACGACACATTCTCAGCCACTGATTGAATCAAGCCCGTGATACAATATGGATCGCAAGCATTGTGGAATCACAATGTAAATGGGAATAGTTTGACATGGAACAAAGATACACCCTTTTTCACTTTATATAAAGAGATAAGACAACAAAAACTTTCGCTGTGTAGGCTATCGGCTATTTGATGACTACAATTGTCTACAATTATGAATAATCCTCCGACAGTCTAGCCGCTATCAGATGCGTTGGCAAAGCCCTCAATAAGCTCGTTAATAATTACCAGCTCAAAACACGGCAGTCACTTAGCTCCACTGTGTCAACCTATGAAGAAAAAACTTAAACGAATACAAAATGCAGTTACGAACATAGAGCTAGGAAGACTTTATATGCCGCAGAATACGCCACCATTTAGCGTAGCGAATCAGATCATTCATTTCTATTCAGTCAGAGCATTGTACAAGTTATATATGTCAGGCTTGAAAAACCTGTTCACGTCCGAAACTTTGATTAGAGAAACAATTTTTTCTGCACAGTAGTCCCCAGCGTATTGATTGTGTAATACAGATCAATGATGTTGGACTTGTGCGTAAAGCCTAGACAATTTAATAGAGGCACGAACAGTCATGATGGTGATGATGATAATAATAATAATAAAGCTCTTAAAAAACGGTGGTTGAACTTTCAAACCTAAATCTAATGCTTGACTCTTCTGTCTTGCCAGACTTATGAAGTAGACGTTCTTTAAACAAGCGGACAATCTACCTTTTGTGCCACTGTGCCGTAAAAGATTCCGTTTACCAGAAGTGCTTTATGTTATGTCATTTTCGTATAGGCCAGCAGCGGTTCTCGAAGTTATCTGTCTAATAATAATATTAATAATAACCTATTTAACTCGAGTAGTCGACGAAAAGAGCGTGTAGCCACGTCGAGGCTCATATAACCGATTGCGGCCTAATAAAGAGCAATTTCAAATATACTAATTAGATTTAGTACTGAATATTTCTATGCTGGCCTATGTTGATAATAATAATTTTATATTTTGTCTTGATGAGTGTAAACTACGGAAAATTAGGCTTCTCATATTTGCAGAGCTCATTTCAAATACCCAGATAGAAACCTTTAATACATCCGAACACGTGCTAGCATGTTATATTAATACGCTGTAGTATCTCCGCTTACCAAGGTAATAGGCAGCCCCGTGATACCTGCATTACCTTCCAAAATCGACTTTTTCAGTCGGTACATTTCTCCTTGCGATCAAATACGCTTTATCGACATCTATGCTTATTATATTGTACCGTGCAATTGCCTAAATTAATGTGTATATACGCTACATGAATAAAAAGCCATTTCTGCAGTGTATCCTGTTACGAGTCTACTTGAATCCTTTGTTTTTATAACAAGTTCTTATATCCTGACAGTAAATTGAACCAACTGAGTCACGTAAAAAAGAAATGCACTTGTATATGACGTGAGGTTCGTTTAAGAGGCATTTTCGGGTTCTGAGGTTTCGACCCCATATTTTTTTCGTCGCAATATAACGATCGTATTATTGGTAGGTACTCTCGTAAAGCAATTTCCTGTCCGACTGACACCGTGCCCGTGAATATTCTCCATTCATGTTACTGCCATGCAAGCCAGTCACCCTCTTGTAGATCAAGCAACTTTACTCCGCTCACTATCGAAGTGATAACATATATCTTTCTTATTTTATGCCACCATGCAACTCTGCCTGCCAAGCCCCGTCACTATACACAGTTCCTATACATAGGCCATAGCTTGTTTCTATCTGTTGTGGTTCCTCGTTGCCATCCTTCCGCCAACGTCTGTAAGCCGCCGATCCAATGAAGTAATACCGAATGAATCAAATTTGGGGCAAAGATGAGTCTCTTCTTCCACTGTTCCGCTGTTGGAACCGAACCGGTGCCGATAATCAACGATGCGTTTATAGAGTAAAGCCTCTCGTATATGGAGTTCAGGTTTTCATCCGACGTGCCTGTCTGTACTTTTGTTTGCCTGGATGCGTTTCTTTTTCCAGTCGTTCATCCCTCTGAGCACGCCCTTACTTTTCCCTTTCCACCAAATGACAAGCAAGCGGCAACTGGCTACCCTTTCCTCAGGGCCTTCGCGCCGATTCAATTCTGTAGCACAGCGTAGCGGTTGTGATTGTCTGTGGTGAGCACCTTCAGTGGGTTCCGTCAATTACGGCTCGGAGCGGACTAAATGCGTGGACCAGCTGCACCGACACAGGCGCCCTGGAGTAGAGCGTTCCTGGCGCCAAGGGCGCAGACAGCGGAGCCGACTAGCGGAGGGGAGCGCAGACGACGGTAGCAGTCAGAAAGAAGCAGGCGAGTGGCTGTATTCGTTCGCTGCCGTGTTCAGACGAACAAGAGCTGCAGTTCAGTCGACCTGCAATCGCCAGTGAGTTGTGTCCGGAGGGCGGCAAAGAGGGAGAAGATAGATATTACGCTCTGTTAGCGATGTAATCAGACGACAACATCAGCTGCTGTTAGTATGGTGATGAGACGTGTAAATCTGTTAAGTGCGCGCTGAGTTGTGCAATAGCAAGTAAAAAGTAACCGTTTTCTAGTCGACAGCAGCGTCGATTGATTCGGCTGATTTATTCTGTGTTGCTGTTATATTGTGTGTGGTATGACGGATATTATCGATATAGAGCAGATAAAAAGAAGCAGGGTCCAGTCAAATGAGCATGTTGCTGAACTAACATGACAACTGCAAAAGGTCTGCTTAACAAGGATACCATCGCTGTGTCGCCTCGAGCAGCGCAACAACTTGAAGTCGATCGAGGTTAGTTTGAAAACATGTTTTAAGAGAAGTAAACACAATCGCCGCGTAAAGAAACTAAAACTGGTATACTGCGTTGATTGGTGTGTACTATTATAATGCTGTCATCACAATTCTAGGTCAAAAAATTAACACCATCCAGTGTTCAAAAGAACGTCAATATGTAAGAAAAGATTTAATGAACATTTGCACACTGGAAGTAACTATTCATAGGGATTCATGACCTCCGGTAGTCCGGATAATCAGGCATCGAATTTTGTAGATACCCCGACTAACTCATCAATCATTCACTGAACAAAAGTAGTTCCGTCAATTGGCTAACAAAATTGCTCATTTTTTTTTTAGCTAATTGACTAACTAGCTAGCTTTCAGTTGTACTAACTACAGACAGCTAAGGACCGTTCAAACTGTCAAGAGACTTAAAGAACTGCAATAACTCGTCGAACAAATAAGCAGTGCCAAATATCCTATTACTTTCTGTAGCATCCCTTGTCTTATAAACTCTTGAACTACGTTAATCAATAGCATCAACGTTTGTTCGTCACTGGTAAACAGTTGATGAAAGCGAGCTTGGAGCCGCCCAGCACCTATTCATCATAGCTTCATGTTGGTTGTCGTTGTTAAGCTGAGCGTGTCAAAAAAAAATCAATACAGTTTGGCAGAAAACCTAACTCAATGGATAACAACAAAAATGTCGTCAATGCATGGTAGCTAAAATATACCTATCTATCCATGTAGCTTGATTTTCTTTTGTATTGTCTGCTGCGAGATGGGTTGTCCTTCAGTCGCAGGTGTGGTCTCGGCGGGGTGTCAGTGAACGCTGTATTTCTCGGTCCCGAGCCAGACGGCAGATGGAGTGACGGTGATGCAGGCCACAATGGTAATGCTGCTACAGCGGCGATTTCTGACATTGTAGAGTTATGGCCCTAATGGGAAGACTGCGACACCCAAGAGGTCCTAAAGTTGTACGTGCGTAGAGGGAGAGAGCTGAGATCGCTACGTCCCTACCTTTCCCGCCGCTTATTTCATCTTTCGTTTAACCTCTATGTCTGCTGGTGACCATGAGGGCACAAAATGTACAGAAAAAATTAGGCAGCAGTTCCGATATCTGGCGATGCATACAAAAAAGATATACAGGATATGAGAAAACTTCCAGAAATATTTCTATTGATGTGAATAAGATAAAACTGCGAAGGTTATAACTTATAACTTATGTGCGTGCAACAGCTGGATGGAGCAGGGCATCCCGTTATTTCTCTACAACTTGCTTTAAACGTTTAGAAAATAGAATATGATTCACTAGATTTAACGGCGCCGGTCACGATAATAGTACAGACTGTTTTTTGACAGAAAGGAAATTTTCAGCCATGTTTCTTCAAAAGGGTTACATTACTACGAACTGCAATCTTCTATAATTATTACCTTAATATATAAAATTCTCATTGTGTGTGCATTTGGAATAACCAAAAAGCCAGAGTCGTTTAACACAAAATAAATCGAATAAGACTGGGGTAACATCTATTACAGTAAATTTTTTTTGTTCGACATTCTATTTTTATTAAGAGTAATTCAGTAATAGATAAAAAAATATTTCTACTGAGTGGGTTTTTTTTTAATTATTGTTATATGAACAAGTCGACGGAATCACTTATTTTTAGATATGTACGAAACATTTGCTAGTAGTCGAAGTGGAGTGGGTTTTGCTAGATCCCAGAGTTTCCAACAGACCTTTTGAAACCGCATAAATTACTATAAAAAGAGCTATTAATCTCAAAGTAATTGTTTTTTTTTCGAATTCCTACTTTTCCTTTATTTTTTGTTTTCCTTATTCTCGATCACTGGGGCTAATTTTTACTAATGCTGAGATTTGAACCCGAATAGCAGTGTGCTCGATATTTATGGTTGCTATGGCAACGCACTTTAAGGATGCCCTGTGCTTATTGAGACCACGCCGCTCACAAACTGTATTAGCGTATACTTGTGGAAGCAAGAATGCTGATACTCATGTCAAAATGTTTAGATATTTAATCCCGCTACAAGTCTACTATTGGCTAATATTGTATAAGGTGGAAATTACCAAAAATCGTCATCAAGTCATAAAAAATAAGAACACCAAGAGGGCGACTGGTACATTTTTTGGGATACAAAACCCAAAATATCTAGGTAATGTCCTATATTTCAAATTTGTCTTCAGTTTTCGTGCGAAGTATATCCTACTTGAACAAAAGCCATAACAAACTTTTTCCAAGTTACGAATCCTTCGAATTTTAAACTGACGCATTAGGAACGAAAATCAAAAGGGTTATCAGTTTACTCTGTCACAGCCATGCTTCTAATCTTAAAAGACCTTTGCTTTCAAATTAAGCTTTTAATCCATATAATAGATGGAACCAATGATTCAGTTATACGCTTGTGTACACATTGTTTTAATTGATCACTCCTCAATTGTGGCGGTTTTAGCACTGCTCCTGTGATTCAAAATGGCTGAGATCGTATTCTTTTGCGCAGATTAATTACCGTGAGAACGCGAGTCGTTACGATCCGCATATTTATGGACGTCGATGTATGTAGAGGTCTTCATAGAATTCGAAACGCCAAAAATTAAAAAAATCCTAGCAATTTTTGTCTAAATACTTGTGTAATGCATATATGAGACTATTTTTCCGATCGTGCTCCTGGTTCTTATTCTCACGCAATGTACTGTGTGTACTAACCGTTTGCTGGCCACAGTATAACGTGTGGGGCCGAATATGTACGTGCATATATCATCATGGCTACCGATGGTTCAACGAAGTCGTTCCTTCCGTTTCTTTTGTGGAGGGGGGGGGGGTGGTAGGTAGGGGCTATTCTGGTTAGGTATAGGTTCTCCTGGTACTTGTTTCTTGCCGCATTGAGGTTGTATCATGCACGGTATAATCTGCTTTTCCCTGGTCCTACTTGGCCCCAACGATGTCTGCAGTCGCTTGACATTGCTCTATGCGGTGGCCTGTTGGCTTGTATGTTGTTGCTGTCACTGCTCTAGTCGCTCTGGTTGTTGGCCTTGAGGACTTTCTAGTAACAGTTGCTCAGTCGAGTACTGTATCTATAAGCACCGTATTATTGGCAGCGGCAGCTTTCTCTCTTGACACCAAATGTGTTGTCCTTGCAGGTTTGTACCTATGAAGAGTGCGTGTGTGTGTCTGTTTGCGTTATATGTGTAGATATGTACACATATGCATAATAGGATGATAGTAGCAGCGGCGGTGGTCGTACCCGTGCAGACTCGTATCGCGTCAAGTCATATTTTTGTCTAATCGTCAGTTCGCCTGACAAAGAACGTATTGTTAACGTACCCGTTTCGCTGATATCTTCCGAGTGGGGAAGGTATGCACAATGATTGTGACCAGCAAACGAATCTGTCGTGCACAAATGTGCGCGATGCTGCAGAGACTTACGTTTGCTTATTACAATGTTGTTTTTTCACTACAGCTAAGTTGCTAGTTTTATTTGTAAACAAAGGAAACCCTTCATATATAACCCATATAAAGATTTTGCTGTACTTTAATAGTAACCCTATGTAAAAGCGGAGTGATCAGCGCACGTGGGCAGTATAGGTGATTAATCGGCTTCCCGTTTTTTTCGTAAATAAAAAGTGGGCCAAATGGACAAAGAGGTAACCTTTTAGCCCTAGGTTAAATAGCATCGTTGTTTCCACACAAATATATTTTAGATATTAGTTTTAGTTTCATTTTGGATCACTACTTATTTGAATCTGTACATTATTTAATAAAACGCAGGTAACTATAGGCAAAGAACTATTATATTCATGAGGCAAGGAATATATTGAAAAGGAAAATATTAGGCTTGGCTAATGCATCGTGATTTACGTTATTGTAAGTTCTTCGCACATCGAACTCTCGCTTATGGTACAAGCCACTTGATAGGTAGCATCCCAGACGGAATAGTTTCGAAATAAGTTGTTGTATATACATGTATGCCTTTGTCACCATCGATCGATCGTGTAAACTTACCGTGGTTTATAGATGCACGCCCGTTTACTGGGGTTTTGTCCGTGTTGTACGTTATGTAATAAAAAGATGTGGGTCCTATTAAATGATTTATTTATGATCCAATTTGTTGTCCGAATCCTTGTTGCGAACAAAGTAACTTCCTAGAATATGAGTCAGCGTTTGTCTGGGACCATACCGTTTATTTGATGGTCGTCCATTTCGGATAGGCGATCCTGCAGAAGAAAGGTGCGTGGTGCACCGTAAACACACGAGTTCATTACATAATCGCAGATGCCCTTTATAAAGTACAGATTCCACCTTCTGTAGTGTTGAAGGAAATTTCAGTATTTGCACGCTAATAAAGACAACGGTTATGACAAAATTACCACGATTTCAATTACGTTTCTGGCAATGTATTCGTGTCAACATTAGCTACTTCACCGCCTGCAATAAATCGATACGTGGGTATTATCAACGGCAAACGATGCCGAAGTAGGAATAGCAGTAGTGATAACAATATAGTTAAGTCGTAAACATAAACATTTGTCTTATTTCTTATTATATTTCTTATTACATTTCTTATTATAATTTGTAGAACTGCACTATTTGAATGGCAATAAATAATCACTGCGTCGTATTAAACAATAACAATAACTGTTGCTTTCGCGTTTGTGAGTGTTATCCGCGTCGCCGTCATGCGTGATATGTAACGTGTGCGTACTATGATCACTATTTTCATTAAATGCATGGGCCTATATGGGTGTTGTTGGAGCACACAAAAGATGATAAGTCAGTATATTGTTGGCAGATGCGCATGTTCAACATCGAAACGACGCTGGGGAAAGAAAATTCGAGCGAACTGTAAGATTCATTGTGTGAAGTGCAAGACCCACATTCCACGTGGGCTACAAACAGTAGGCCGCAGGCGCCGTCAAACCCAGCAATTATAACACCGCATTAGTCTTTTGAGCCACAGTTGGGGCTTCACGCTAGACCAAAGCTAGATAAGACGGA